GCACCTTGTTGTCTCGGATTCTCCAGCATCTGCAGTTCCTAGTATCTCTACTCCCAGTAATGGGTAGTGCCAGGACTGAAAAACAAACATTTGATGAGCAAGAGATGCAGGGGTTATGTTAGGAAGAATATTTGTACATGGGAATGATTTGGGTTTTCACTGCAGGTTGTTGGAAGAGGAAGTAAATCAATGATTTTGAAAGGAAATTGGATGCGGAGCTGAAGGAAATAAACCTACAAGGTTACAGGGATTGAACAAGGCTGACTGATTACTCCTCAAAGACCTGAATGGACTTGATAAGCAGATGGTGTCCCATATGTATAAAGTCGCCATTGTCCGACCAGACCAGAGAGCTCATGAGAGAGGGAGAGGGGTCTGGTGGTGGTTTAACGTGAGGGTCACCATGCCTCAGGCCAGGGGAGAGGTCGAGAAGGAGAGTCCTTCATAGTAACCTCAGCTAGTGACAGGAATTGAGCCCACTCTGTTAGTGTCACTTTGTATCACGAAACAGCCATCCACCCAAATGAGCTAACTAATTCCCTAACAAGGCTTTGAAAAGAATAATTCTATGGTTCACTTGAATTTACACCCATGCCTTCAACTCCCTCAGCCCTGGGTTCAACAAATTCGGTAACAGTTCAAGAAGGTAGGTCACCACCACTTTCTCAAGGGCAACTAGGAACTGGCAATAAATGCTCGTCCAGCCAGCAGTACCCATGTCCTATGAATGAACAACAAAAAAAAACTCCTTCCTAAAGCTTTCTGCTTCTTTTTCTGCTCCACTAAGCTGCTGCTTGCGGTCTTTGTCTGTGGCTTTTGCTACCTTGTTATTGTGTGGCTCAGTGTCACATTTTGTTTGATAGTCGCTCCTATTAAAAACCTTGGGATGTTTTATTATGTCAAGCACTTTGTGGAAATGCAAGTTGGTCTTCCTAAGTATATAAGAGTAACTTTTACGCAAGTACAGCATGTCATATGTTCTGAACTGCAAAAGTATCCTCAGAAATCACAGTATCAGTACAAGGGATTGGCTACTTCGGACTCATATGAACATGAGAACATAACAAATAGGAGCAGGAGTTGGCCATTTGGCCCATCGATGCAGCTCTGCCATTCAATAAGATCATGGCTGATCTTTTCATGGACTCAGCTCCGCTTACCCGCTCTCTCACCATAACCCTTAATTCCTTTACTCTTCACAAATCTATCTATCTTTGCCTTAGAAAACCGAGAGTGTCAACCATGCACATTAATGTATTTAACCATTCAATTTTCAAACAAAATTGCTTATCTGTGGTTCATGCAAAACTCCCCCCTCCAGGAGCTCTTGTGGTGCAGTAGTAGTGTCCCTACCTCTGAGCCAGCAGGCATGGGTACAGTCCCATCTGCTCCAGAGATGTGTAATAGCAACTCTGTCCAGGTTAACATAAGAAAAAGACGTTGCTATTATACACCTCCATTAATTAATTATCATGTCCGGTCCATTTCTTGATTGCTTCTATTTCAGTGGTCATATTTAACTCATGAATTTTGTTTTTCGTTAATTTTCTACATGTTTCCTTTTCTGTTTCAACCATTGTATCTTTATTTTTTAGTGCAACAATACAATTCAACAGAGAGGGTATGTTGCAGAGATGGAATGAAACCAAACCCCATGCAGTTTTCATGTAACAAGAGAGCAGAGAGAATAACACTCAGAGAAGATTGTAAAGCTGCCTTCTTAGATTGTTGCAACAGCGTCCAAGAATTTAAGAATCTACAGAGAAAGACTCAAATGACTTTAGCAAGAAGTAAGCATCAATTATTTTGTTAAGAGGTATCCCAAAACCAACATGAGATATTTTGTTTCACTTTGAAGTAATGTGGCAGCTGAATGTTTTATTTTTCTTTTTAAACTTGCTAAGTTTTGATTATTGTTTCACACAGTAAAAAAATGTCTTTTCATGCAGTGGAATGGGGTAGAGGAGATTTTTCATGGGTGCTGGAGAAAACAGTTAATATCAAGGTGGTTACTGGTGTATCCTTGCTCCATTGACTTACCCAGAAGTGAATGTGAAATGGTACAAATATCAGTGGCCACTGCAATAGTGACCCCTCAGCACTATCACCCAAGAGGAACTTGCAACACTGTGTGCATGGAGATGGTTGAAATATAGTCTCTAATCTAATAGCCAGGCAAAATTCTTTGAAAATACAGAACAATAACCAACATATGTTAAAGAGGGAAGGCAGCTCCACAAAAGTTCATTGAGGACACCTGATATTATTCGTGAGTGGTGGACATCATTTGGGAATCGTGGGTTGAGTTACTCACTATGGAGTTCTGAGGCTCTGTGCTGTTGTAAGCATTGTATTTTGGCAGCTTGTCTGCTAATTTCCTGGTGAATGGTGACCTATTAGGATCATGATAGAAAGGGATTCAATGCATTAAACAGGCTCGTCTCAGAAACTCTGGCATGGACAGCTGACTACTTGCTGTCCAGCAATGAATCACATTGTGGTATCATTCTATTGTTCAGAATGACAAACGTAAATAGATGGCCCAAAATTGTAGATTGAACATCCCACCAAAGATGCAGATTATAACTTTGTGCAGGTCTCAACCTCCCTGACCTACACGGGAATAGCCTGGGGAGTTTACGTTTTCAATGGACAAGTTCCTTGTTCTCCAACTCTGTGCGTGTGAACGTTCCCAACTCTGAGCTGGAATTGTGAGACCTTGGGATAAATCCGTTAAACTTACCCAGACAATTAGCCAGAAATGCTAGACACGTTAAAACCTGGTCAAAGACCTAGTAGCTCTTTAACTGATGACTACCAACCCTCTCAAGCAGCTGACTACACCCACCTACGACGTAAGTAACCCCTAGGATCATCCCTCCTGCCAAATATTCCCAATCCAACCACCCCTCGTCCACATGACTGCCCAACCCTGTTCACTCACCAACATAGCCAACCCCCAGACTATATCTCCCTGACCCAACCTGATTACTCTTCGACTACCTCTCATTCCACTCTACTACCCATCTTGTCCTGTGACCAGCTGTCAACCATCCATGACCCACCTGGTCTCCCTCCCAAATAGAACGTACCTCTCCCAGAATCACCCTACTACCCCTGACTCAGCCTCCCCTCACCCACCGACTGACTGACCCACCCACCCACCCACCCCCACCTCATCTAACAACTCCACCTACCCAATTACTCCCTTGCCCACCAACACTCTCGGCTGCATTTTCACCCTCAGTCATCCGTTTAAAAATCATGACACTTTGCAGAACACAGCGGGTCACGCAAAAGCATGCAGTGCACTGATCCTTTTTGATTGCCAAAGTCGATGAAGGAAGGATGTTTTCCCCTTGTCTGGAGAAAGTGCATGGGTGGAGAGGGAGGTGATGAGAGCGGCGGAATCTAGGGCAAATCTAGACTCAGAATAAGAAGTATTCTTTTAAAACAGAGGCTAGAAGGGGTTTCCTCACTTGTAGGTATGTTTTTAACCTTTGGTATTGTCTACCCCAGAGGGTTGTGAAGGCTCAATTATTGGGCATGCTTAAGATAGGTTTCGAGAAATTGATGGTGTTGAGACAGTCTGTGAAAGTTATGTCGGCGTAGCAGATCAGCCATGATCTTGTTGAAGCAGGCCTGAAGGGTAACTGGTTTACACCAGGCCCTATTTCCAATGGTTAAATATTCTAACATGGATTGGAAGATTTGAGCCAATGCTTTTATACTTAGAGATCATGAAATTCTGCGTCTAAATCCTTATTCTACCATTTGCACTTTTGTTTAGGTGATGAAGATGCCTACTACACTCCCTATGAGGATATATTATCGAGAAGTAATTTCCCAGAAAGCTGGCTCTGGATACAGAGGATTCTGCCCACAAATGACAAAACAGGGTACTAATCATTTTAAGAAGTGGTGTATTTGTGCTGTTTCTGTCTGGTTTAATGCATAAACTGTAATTCAGAGGGATTAGATTCATAGAGTTATACAGCATGGATACAGTCACAGACAATATCCCACTAAATCTTTCTTATTAATTTACTGTCCAAATACCTTTAAAGTGTTGTAACTGTACCTGCATCTACCACTTCCTCTGACAGTTCATTCCATTTATCTACCATCCTCTGTATGAAAAAGTTGCCCCTCAGGTCTCTTATAAATCTTTCTCCTCTCACCTTAAAAATATGCCCCCTAGTTTTAAACTCTCCTACCCTAGGGAAGAAGACCTTTGCTGTTCACCTTATCTGTGCCCCTTGTGATTGTATAAACATCTATAAAGTCACCCCTCAACCTCCTATGCTCCAAGGGAAAAAAATCCCAGCCTATCCAGTTTATAGCTCAAACTCTCCAGTACCTGCAACATCCTTGTGAATCTTTTCTTAACCCTCTCCAATTCAATAATATCCTTCCTATAGCAGGGTGAACAGAACTGGACACAGTACTCCAAAAGTGGCCCTACCAACATCCTGGATTCTATCAGCCTAATGATGACATACAAGGAAAAACCCTCAAACAGGGCTGATGGGCTGGGAATTGCCCAGCAGTTCCATGTCCAAATAAACATTTTGTGATTGACTGTCATGGAAAGTATCTGAAGGATGACATTTGTAATTAAGGAAACATGCAGTAGCCACTTTGTCCACAGCAAGCTCCCACAAATGATGGTATTGCTAATGCAAAATCAAAATACCGCAGATACTGGAAAACTGAAAACAAAAACACCAAATGCTGGAAATACTCAACAGATCAGGCAACAGCCATAGAGAGAGAGGATCAGAGTTGATGTTTCAGGTCTGTGATCTTTCTTTAGAATTGGGAAATGTTACGATGCAAGACCATAAGATATAGGAGCAGAAGTAGACCATTTGGCCAACTGAGTCTGCTCTCCAATCATGGCTGATCTATTTCTCAAACCTATTCTCCTGCCTTTTCCACTTATCTCCTCCCCAATCAAGAACTTAATTACCTCTGTCTTAAATACACCCAATGACTTGGTCTCCAAGGCCCTCTGTGACAATGAATTCCACGGATACACCACCCTCTGTTTTAGTAATGTATTAGATTTCAAAAATGAAAGGGAGAGATAGAACAACAAAAATGGAAAACAAGACCTTTGATAATTGGAATGCAGGAGAGAATGCATGAGAAGCCAAAGGAAGTGGTGATGGGACAAACAAAGGAACAAAAGCTGTGATGAGAGGAGGTATAAATGGCTGTTATTCAAGTGCAAACTAACCAAGAGGGAAACCAGATAGAGGGGCAGAAAAGGCAAAGAAATACCAAACAAAATATGGGTAAAGATTGTGACTCACAATAGTTGAACTCAACGGTGAATTCAAACTGCTGCCAAGTTCCCAGTTGAGAGATGAGGTCCTATTCCTTGAGTTTCTGTTGAGCTTCATCGAAACACAGTATCAGGCCAATGACAGAGAGGTCCGAGTTAGAGCAAAATAAAGAGTTGAACTGACAAGCAACAGGTAGCTCAAGGTTATGCATGCATACCGAAAACAGTCACTCAGGCTATGTTTGTTCTCTCCAAGGTAGATAAGATCTCATTCTGAATAGCAAATACTTACTGCTAAGTTTAAAGAATTGCATTTTTAAGCATCATTTGGAAAGTGAATTTTCAGCATTTGCTAGTTGTTTTTTCAGATTTCCAGCATCTGCAGTATTTTGTTTTTATATGACCCTACTATTATTTGTGGGAGCTTGCTGTGGGAGGAAGTAGAATGGCCCAAGTTTTATCTCCAGCTCTTGCATGGGAAAATGCCAAAGGAAGGAGAAGAGTTAGTAGGAACTGCAGATGCTGGAGAATCCGAGACAACAAGGTGCAGGGCTGGATGAACACAGCAGGCCAAGCAGCATCATAGGAGCAGAAAGGCTGATGTTTCGGGCCTAGACCCTTCATCAGAAAAGCAGAAAAGGGTCAAGGCCCGAAACGTCAGCCCTTCTGCTCCTATGATGCTGCTTGGCCTGCTGTGTTCATCCAGCCCTG